TTGTTCCTCCCCAAGTGCAGGACTTGGCGCTTCCCCTTGTTGAAATTCATGAGCTTCCTGTCAGCCCATTTCTCCAGTCTGCTTCGCCTCTGGTGTCTCAGCCACTCCTCCCAGCTTTGTGTCATCAACAAGCTTGCTGAGGGTACACACTGCCCCATCATCCAGGTCATTAATGAAGATGTTGAACAGGACTGGACCCGGTATTGACCCCTGGGGTACACCGCTAGTCACTGGCCTCCAACTAGACTTCATGCCACTGATCACCACCCTCTGGGCCCAGCCGTTCAGGCAGTCTTCAATCCGCCTCACTGTCTGCTCATCCAGCCCGTACATCAACAGCTTCTCTGTGAGGATCTTATGGGAGACAGTGTCAAAGGCCTTACTGAAGTCCAGGTAGACAACATCCACTGCTCTCCCCGCCGTCTACCAGGCCAGTCACTGAACCCATGTTTTCATGATTATTTTTTTCAGTCTCTGTTCTTGTTTTCTCAGTAGAATGAATTTTTATTTTCTTCTTTTTGAAAAGTTTTCTAGGCTCAGAAATAGGAACTCAATCCCCGGTATGTAGCAATACACACCACAGCAACAGAAATATTATCTCATACATAGGAATATTTATTTTTTTCCTTCTTAAAAATGTACAAAAAATAAAATAACTGTATTTACAGTTTATCAAACCCCTCTCCCAGATGCAACACTATTAAGTTACATGAGCTATTTTCTTAATATAAAAGCACACTATTTATACATAGTTTCCTTGTTTGCCAGAAAGAGGGCTTGTCACAAACTTTGGCACAAACATTCTTGTTTGTATCTTGTCTCAATTCATAGGAAATGGAAGAGCATATAAACATGTCATAAGCTTTACATTGTAAAAGTCCTAAGATACTCCTTTCCAGTTCCATATCAATCAATATACAGCATCTCTGACAGCTGGAGAGTTTAGTTTTTAGTAATTGTTTGAATTAATTTACAACATTTAAACAATCCATAGACTGAAAGAGGAAAATATACAAGAAAGACACTTGATCTCTGAATTCCATTGACCAAAAATTTCATGAGAGAGGACACACAGGAAAAAAAAGTTCTTTTCTTTGTAGTTTACATTCAGTGGTAAAAATCCTCCAAAATGTCTTGATGGGGATATCACTGTACATTCACAAAGCTTCACTGCAAGGATGCACTTTATTTTGGGCATATCAGCACCTGACTGTGTAGAAACAAACTAAAATTTGAGATTTGGGGGTTTCATAATAAAGCATCAAATGGACGGACATAGTGCCAAACCTGTAGTGGGAACCAAAATTAGAGCTTAGAAGACTATTCTCCTTTTGCACATCTCTATCAGAGTCTTTCGAAACACAACATTTACAGACACTGCACTGCTCTAATTCTTCATAGGGAAAATTAGTTGAGCAGCAAGCCACCCTTTAGGCTGCACTAGTTAAGATTCAAGTCTTGAAGAAGGAAAGGAAATGAAAGTTTTGTTCCTCTAAATAAACAACCACAGCAGTGCCACAAAGAGACAAAAGGAGGCAAGGCAGATCTTCCTGTCCCCTACTGAACTGTAGCCAAATCTTACTTCCATTTAACTCATAATATTTGGAAGATCCAGCATTAATCAGTATTTTTTGTTAAACAAAACCAACATGTATATTTTAAACAATATACATGAAAGCACTTTGTAGTCCTCAAGACCTTTGAATCAAGCAGGGCATGAGGCAGGCCACTGTTTCAGAAGTTTGCATTGCTCGTACCGGCCCTTCCCCATCACTTTGATAGCCTGTTTTTGACCAACAAGGTGAACCCTGAGAGCTTGTAGCTTGGCACAACCAGAATCCATGGTTCAGTGCTCCTCCAGCAGCTGATGCTGTAACTACAACTGAAGGGGTGCAGGCTGATGTGGTCTTTGTAATGTCTTAAGTGCTTGCGATGCATCTGCATCTGGAGCAGAGAACCAAAGCCCTCAGACCCTGGCAGATAAAGTTAAGAGAGATCACCCTTAACTAGCTCTAGTTGTTTTTTTAAAATAATCCTACCATCAGCGTAAATCCTACTCATCTTCCTCAACCCTGCTACCTTCATTAAGACTGTAAGAAGGAACTAAAGGCAGGAGTATCAGCTCTCTTGTATCAGGAATTTGCACAATTTAAGATGTATTTAGAAAAGCTTTCAGTTAATCTTAGAAGCAGTTTTCCTTCCCTGGACAGTGCCTGACCAAAAGCTCCTAAAATGGCAATGGAAAGATAGCTCCTTAAGCCCCAGTATTTCCTGGAGCATTGCACTTCTCACTGATCCTACACTGCTCCTCAGTGCAGAATGCTGCAGCATCCAACAGATCCCAGCTCATCTCCACCCATGTGTAAGACAAGAATGTCCCATTAACCTGAGTGCTGGTGCTGCCAGAACAGCCCTGTCCTTCTCTGTGAACCCCAGATTCTCACTGTCCTCTCTTAATGCAGCACATCCCAACCCGGGCCAGCCCCAGGCGCCCACAGGCATTCCCTATAAGGAAGAGAGCTTGGATGGCAGGTTAGTTGGGGGTAAAACCAGGGCTCAACTCCTATGTACGTTTACTCCTATGCTTCACCCAGACGTCATGACCAACTGAGAGATCCCAGCTAATATCCTTAGGATCCCAAACATCATCAAACAACAGAGAAATACAAGAACTAACACCACTGCTCACCAGTCCTGTGTGCTGATCCCCGTTCCTAATGCCACCTGCCAAAACTGTCCTCTTTTTTTCTTTAGGAAAAAGTATCTGGGCTAAGTCAGCATACACTTTTTGTCTGAGCCTGAACCAAGTAGAAACAAACTGAAACACCATAAATCCCCTGTATTCCCAGGATGTCTGCTCTTGAGCAGGGTGGCAAGAGCATCTTTGCTTGAGTACATATTTATAAAAAGATAATGGAATTACTACAAAACTCTGCATCAGAAGGAGAAAGAGCACATGACAAAGGAAGAGGGGGGAAGGAAGACAGAACAGACACTTTGCTTTGCAGACATACATGGATTCTGGGTGTGTTAGCCCTGATGCTAACGGCCTAAACCTTTTATAGGTTCTGGTCCCACAGAAACTTTGACAGGTACCTAACATTTCTATTTGAAGTACAGATTTTAATGGGATGGTATTGCTAATGAAGTTAAGAATGTGTGCAAGAGCTTGCAGGACAATTCATGCAAAAACATGACCAAATCAGACTGGTCAGCTATCCCAGCTACTTTCCTTGAATGTATATAGCTCCACACAGCTCAAAACACTACAGAATGAGCCCTGTTAAACTAGGCAGTGTTTCTTTACGCCATTAACCACCTAATAAAAAAAGATTCTGTGACTAAATGAAAAAAAGATTTCAGAAGGAAAAAAAAAAAACTCTAAAGGGTGCATGTAGGAAAGGACCCGCATTTCTGTCTGTCGCACGGGATCCACATACAGTGCATAGAGAATAAAATGCTTGCAGCTGAAACTCACAGGATTGTATGCTGAGTGAGGAGCTCTCTACGATAGCCAGAGGAACTAGAAAGGAGAGAGAGAGGTGCTGGGTTTGGATGCGCTAGGGACATTCGGGCCTTGAACCCCTTTCCTGGTACGATTTTAAACTGCAACTTTCTCTCTTCACAGAATTCGTGAGACAGGGATGGAATTTGATGGGATAACCTTGTATATCAACTTGGGTTCAGATCCAGCCCTTGTGAGAAAGACCTATCTCCACACCTCAGTTGTGGGATACTCAGTCCCCACTGGCAAAATTGTTCCAGTTTCGGTAAAATATTTACATCAAGCCCAGGTTTATATCTCACCCAACTGTCCTAGGAATCAAACCAGAATCATTCAATGGAGATACAAGAGCAAGTACCCTTAAGAAGAAGAGTTTGAAATCCTGTTTCTTACAGTCTAGGGGAATGCTTTAATGAGCAGGCTGCTGCGGAAAGCACATTTCCCTCCACAGGCTTGAGAAAAGCCCACTTTGAGAGCCTCCACTTCATCAGTAGAGAACAGGCAGAAGTCCCTTCTATACCTCTAGGCACACCAGGCAGCAGATACATGGTGCCTCTTGGACAGCTGGATGGGATACTCAGGTACTTACAACTGGGACTTGGGCATCTAAGGTGGATCTCATTGTGCCGGAGCACTCCAGATCCTGCAGCACAGTTTGCTCCAATATTTCAGTATAAAACTGAGTGGGCAAGGATGGAGCATATGAGTGCAGATGTAGTTATCAGCTTCTCAGTACACACTCTGTAACAGATTGCAGCAATCTAATCCTCTAGGAAAGATTCTGTTAAACCCTAAACCCAATACATACAAAAACATAGTGGCAGTAAACGTGCCCACATACAGTAGTTAAAATATATTATTGCATATTATAAACATTATATACAAGGTTAAAATGGTTTCTTTACCATTTACTTACAAGTGACATTTGTAGCTGAATGTCTTACTTACAAGTCCTCATTGCTACATGCTGAGAACTACCGGAGGTATTTGGCAAGACTATACACTATAGAGAGATATGGATCAGTTTGAGCAAGTGAACTCTGTCAGCCACTTTCCCCATCTTTAGCACTGCACCAGTTTTTTAGCAATGATGGAGAGAAACTACTGGTAAAGTGATTTACACCATAGTTCTGAAATTAGATCAGCATGGTTCCTTGACATGTTTTAGAATGAGCTTATCCACATTAAAGTATGGATTAAAGCGTTACATTTCACATTTGCAGTGGGTCATCTGGTTACAAATCTGGGGGCTGTTAACTGCTTGTACACTAGAGAGTGGGGAACAATAAATAAGGGACCAGGTTAACATGAGTGGCCTTGTGCTTGACAAACCCAAGTCTATATGCAATGGGTGCATATGTGCAGAATGGACAGTATTTTCAAAGCAGTCTTGTAACAGTTTCTCTGATCAATGTCTGTCAAGTTCCTGGGGAATCTTCTGCTTTCCAAGAAGGATGAAATGCTGTGGTTCCTTACAAAAAGGCTCTGCCTGAGGCTAGATCTCTGTCAGTGTGATCTTGAAGCCTTCGACCATGCTCTCCATGTGCAGGATGAACGTGTCCTCATTGGAGTAGTGCTCAATAATGTTGTCATCCATGTTTACCAAGATACTGGTGACAAAGGCAAAAATCAGTATTTTTATGTATCAGGACACTGAAAGGGAAAGCCATGCACTCCACTGCATGTGCTTGCTTCACTACAATGCAAAAACAGACTCCAGCACATACCAGTACAGGGACAATAGTGGGAATCATCATCAAGATCTGCCCCATAGTTCCTTATAGTCTTCGGATTAGAGGCTGCTCCTTGCCAAAGCAGTTAAGGTGGGAGACATGCCGGTGCTGGGATGTTAACCCACTTAAGCTGCCTACACGGTGAGCTGCACTCCAGATCCCTGGCAGACCCAGCTAGCTGGTGTTTCCCATGTCTGGTGTTGGCTCCCCCAGGCACCTCCGTGCTACTCCTCAGCCACGCCACGTGAGCTGCTGCACCTTTGTGGTGTGAGTCGCTAACATGGGGAAGAAGTGTAATTTGTGCTTTGCACATAGCTCACAGGCCTAGAACTCAGCTTGGATGTGAGAATATCAACAAAAACTATTAGAACTGCACATGAGTGTTTTCCTCACTCTCTACCGTAAAATGTTTCTTCCAACAAACATATCACTTGGAAACAGTGTTAGAAAGAAGCAAAACATGAGAAGTTTCACCTGTCTTCTCAAAAACCAAAGAAATCCCCAGACAAAACAATGTCCTAACCTAGAGTTACAGCTGAAAATAAATGATTGATTCAAATATTGTGGTTATTTAGAAGAAAATTCTAAATATTCTACAATATTCTATAATATTGTGGTTATTTAGAAGTAAAAAAATTTAAAGTGGAGAGATTTAGATTTATGGCAAGGAGTAGTAGCCTAGCTATTCTAAAATCACAGCTGTGATGCTCACGTCTAAATTTACTCAGCTGAAACCCCTGCAGCAAACATTGCCTGCCTGCCTTTCAGATTCGGACAGTGGCCTACTTCTTCCTAACACTGCAGGGAAACTCCACAGAGCAAAGGCTGCACCTCTCCCATGCTAGTGCTCCACAATGTTATTAAGCATATAGTCTACAAAACAGACTTTATCCAAATATATTTTCCAAACACAAACTCTGTTTCTTCACAGTAAGCCTATGAATACTGGTCAGACACAGTCCGGAGATTCATGTTTCCTCCTGCTATCTCCATAGACATTAAGATTTCAAGCGTACGGGCATGTCTCCTAGAATTGTTTATACTGCCCAGCGTCATGAGGTCCCAAGCATAGTTGGGATCTCTGAGTACTTCTAAAGGATCCTGCGATAGCCCCTAGTTAGTTAGCTTACTTACCCCTTTTTGCTCTTCTTATAAAGTTTTGCAATCTTTTCAACCGGCAGCCCATATTTCTCAGAGATCTGAAATCATAAAAATAAAAGAAATATCATTAAAGACTAATGAGAAATGTGAAATTATCACCTCTCACTTTACATAAGGCATTAAAACACTATCTCTGCAAACAGGATAGCTATACAGAAAAGTCACTCGCAACCATACCATAGCTTCATTTAAGAACGATTCGGGCAGGAATAATCCTAAACATCTTGACTGAAAAACCACAATCATTTCCATCCAGAAACTTGGAGGCTATAGTTTTCATAGGGTGTGAGTCATCAAAACTGCCTCAGCATCTCCTACTGCTCTACCCAAGGAGTCAACACTCTTCTCAGCTTCAGATTTTACCAGGGAATTTCAATCTGATCAGCTGCCTTTCTGCTGTTTCTTATTCTGATTTTCTGGGCTCACGGAAGTAAAGGCTTCTTCCACCGGGCAGAAGGCAGATGAGTAGCAACACAACAGGAGCTGATGGGTTGATGGATCAACAAAAAAAATGCGCACGTTTCTATTTCTCAATGGCATTTCAAGGTCTGTTAAGTTAACAGGACCCTCCATGGTACTTCTTTTGTCTGAAAAGTATCTTCAAGGTACCTTTCATTGTGGGAGGGCTACAAACATGCTACGCACAGGATTAGGAAGCTTCTCTATTGTTGGGGTGGTTACTCAGTCTAGTTACTAGGGTGGCAAAATGAGAACACTATTTGGCTTGCAAAAAGTCATCTGAGTGTACAGGTAACAAGATGAGATGCCGCAGAGAAGTGTGTTAACAAGGTAAAGGACTTCTCAAATAAACCTCTTGCCAGCTACTCAAATGATAAAGCAGAAAATATAGGAAAACTTCTGAAGGAAGTACTACTTAGCTGAAAAATTACCAACACTAACAAGCACTTCACTGGGATGCTTTGGCATTGTTTTGCAGCAGTGTATTAGTAACTTTTTGGACGTCCATTCTGCAGTGAGCCTGTGGTGTGCTCATGAAGACGGTGTCTCTGAGCCCTCCGTCTGGGCCAGGTTTCCTTTCCAAATTATGACTCTTCTTTGAGGGAACAGGTCTCACAGCTCATACTTTGGAAGAGGATTGTCCCAAAAGGCAAAATAATTACGGAAAAATGACTTTTTGTCAGTGATTAATGTTCTGTGGTACTCTACTGCCAACCAAAGTAAGTTTTCTGCTCTTCTCAGGTGAAATGAAGTTGCAGCTAAATAGCTGACTATTCATCTTCTGCATTAGAGAACGGAACTGCAATGCACAATTAAAAATCCATTTAAAGACTGCCAAACATCAGTCACTGTAAAATCCTTTCTTTGTGTTTGTGTTCAGACTTCCGTTGAGAAAAAGTGATAGTTTAGAGAAGTAAATTAAAGCAATTATCATGAAATAGAAAATGGAAAGAAAGCAATGGATAAACTCAGCACCAAGGACAGATTCAAACAGCCACAGGTTGAACCCCAAGCACGGCTCCCATCCAGAGTGCCAGGATTCTCTGAGGGAGAGAATTAATTAGCCCATACTTGCCTACATCACCTATATTGCATAATCGTCATCTTACCTAGGATACAATTTTGTACTTAAAAAGTATAGCGTAACTCCAAGATTTTGAAGAACCAATCAAGCTTCTTTTATACTGCAAAAGAGTTTCCTCTGACCACAGCATACATCTGTGGCTAACAGAAAGGGGAGGATGTAAATAAGGAGTAACTGATAAGGTACACTAGACTCATCCACTCCTTAAGTTTTGCACCTAGCAAACAGATTAGAGATTTTAGAGAACAAAAGACAGATTAAGTTGTGGGTTGTATTTGCTACTCCAGTTTTACTCGCATCGGCGTGTTTCACTGCCCTTTTGGATATGGTGCTGGAGATACCAATGGTAGTCCTGGTTCCATGTTCTCGCCTGCCTTGGGAGAGGTCTAATCCAGCGTCAAGGCTGCGCGAGCTCATATGCTGTACAGTCACACTGTCTCTGCTGTGGGGAGCGGTCCACTTTGTACATTTATGAGAAGGGAGGCTTCACCCTGCTTGTGTTATACCTCACACAGGCATCCTCACTATTGGACTATAAAACCAATCTTTTTCACTCTGAGCAATATGTAGCCCATGCAAAAGGTTCTATGTAGCCTACGGAAAAGCTACGTAACCACATGCACACAGTGGAAATGCATCCTAGAAATAAGTTCCATAACATACTCACCTTATCTGGAGCAAGTTCAAGTCTTTGCTCCAAACAGTTCAGAACAAGGGTGAGTCGAACCCAGGCTTTGCCATATCCCTGTGTGGGATGTCCTAACCAATTCCAGCTACTCTCCAGCTACTCTCCATCACAGACGGGGCAGGCGGCCCCACCTAGCCTCCGTGAATGCCTGACCCAGCCTATGCACACAAATCCAAGGGAGGATCCATGGGCAGGATTCCCAGTACAAGGAATCACCTACCTCTGGCCAGAAGCACTTGTGTAGCTACCAACACCTTGCCCCTCACTCACACTCTACCCCTGTCTACCACCATCTTTCCAAGTCTCCCTTCCTTCGATGCCTCATTTTGTGCTGCCCATGGAGGGCAGCTGCCTGACCTGAGGCTGGTGACTCCTCTGAGGTACCCAGGTGCTACACTGTGAGGGCAAATCTTGACTGTCTTAGAGAAGTTCTCAGAGAAACTTTCATGTTCTCCTTTTATTCTTTCTTACCCTCTAGCTTTGCTTACCATGAATTAAATGACATCAGATAAGCAATCTGGTGCTGAACTTGTGTATCTGGTTTTGTTGTACCCTTAAATTTAAGTTTTCATGTAAAGCAATAATAAAAATGGCTCCATTTCATCAGATTGTTGAAAAAATCCATTGTAACAGGCATCAGAGAAAAACTGCAACCTTAAGCTGCAGAAAACGTCACAACTGTGCGAACATGAGGAAACAATATATTTTCCTTTCTGGGTTGTTAACTCTGAAGCCTAGTGATATTGTAAAGATCCGTACTTGAAGACACTTTTCACTGACTCCATGCAAATAAACAAGCAGGGAGAAACATTCCTGTGCCAAAGAGGTTTAATAGCAGCTAATATACAGCATTTTGCACATTCCAGCATAAAACTTCCCCAGGATATTTAGGACACGTAACACTCACACATTCCAAATGTGTCCCAAAAGTGGTTTGGGACTCTGGGACACCAATTCCTACATAAGCTATGAGAGGTAGGGCTGAGAAAGCCTTCCCTGTCACACTGCCTATGACAGGTGTAGGACTTATATAACATGCAGGGATTAGTGAGCTTTGCAAAAGACTTCCAGCTGACTGAATAAGCACATTTCTCAGGAACCCCTAAGAATTCAACTAATTATACCAAACAGCAAGCTGTGGAAGCAAGGCTCGAAGTGGGGGTATGGGAAAGCCTCCCCCTCACAGGCTCAGAAAACGAGTCTCCAGTGCAAATGTGCTAAGTCCTGCTGCAGAATCTGAGAAAGCAGAGAGTTAGCATCTGCTAGGGCATCTCACTTAACACCCTCTTCTGAAACACGTTTGTTGCCAACTCATGGGGAACACCACTACTGCCAACTTCCATATAAAACAACAGGATTGCTCACCTGACCCCAAGCAGGCTACAATAAATTTTAAAAAGATATCTTTATTTGGGTCCATTGCCCATTTTTCAATCTTCTGGGCAGAGGATTCTTTCCTTCCCTTAGGACGCCTGAAGCAGTGGGACAGCCTTCAGAGTGGCACTGAAATAACAGGCTGGATGTCTCTTTGGGCTGCAGTCCCCTGGCATGGCAAGCTTGTCTGTAGCACATATCTGATTGCACAAGCCACCAGAAATGCTTTCTCTGCTGGAGTCAGGAAGACAGAAATGGCAACATCTGGGCTGGTTGAGGCATGTGGGAAAACATCTTTGCCAACTTATTTCTATGGAATGGTACAGTCTGTTGCCCTACATTGGTTGGAAGGACACATACATAGACAGGTATCTAATAAACTTTGGTCTAAGCAAGCTCTATTGAGCTCAGCTGTTAGTTTTTAATTTTAGAAAGACTTTGGGAGATGCTTGAATTTCCCAATTTAGATCTCCTTCTGTAATTTGAATAAATATGTGATTCTGCACAGTGTAAGACTGGGATACTTACTGAGATCCACAGAGTTAACCTGACTTTGGATCAGGCTGAGAGCCCGATTTGGAGCTCAGCTGGTCAGTCACCACATATGTGTGATGTTTTGTGAAGGGCAATTGTTTCACTATTTTCTGTTGATCAAGACTGACTAGTAGTGTAGGATGCAAACATCTTAAAAACCAAACATTTGCATCACTTTCTGAGATGTACTGTATCTCTGAAACCTAAGACCTCCAGATATTTGCCAGAAGAAAGAAATCTGAGAAGGAATCTAATTGTTCATTTGGAATGGGGGTATACAAGAGAATAAAATAAAAATAGTATCTGAGAAAACAATATAATTAATCATGGAAAATTAGGAGAAAACCACACACCAGGAATAGTGATTAACAAACAAACAAAAAAAAAGTAAAATCCATAAACGGAGAAGGAGGGTATGATTCAGGATCATTGGTGCTGTCTTTCAGATCTGGGGCTCTATAATATTCAGACCCTCAGTTTCTAAGCTCTTAGTACTGAGTTTAGAATTGAGCATTTAGGATACGCCCAATTACAAGATTACATGATTTGCTGAAACGACTGTAGAGAGAGTATTTAAGAATATGCGGTTTGACAGCTTTTTGGCATTGATTTATCCACAATATCCTACCAAAGAGAATTAAAATTTTCTGAATGTGTTCCTTCCAGTGAACTGGGACATTTTACAACAGATCAGATTTCTCTGGTGCCGAAAACATGCCACTGAGTCAGCAGCTGTGCTGACCGAGGTATGCAGAAACCTTTCCTGCTTCTGCACCAGCTTTGTTTTTAGGTTACACGGTGGCTGGAGAACAGGCATGGAGAAGCACAGACTACTGGAGATAAAATGTTCATGTTAGCTTGAATGGTTATAGAAGGATTATAACATACTTTTAACTTCCATACAAAGACAAGATGAAATCGTGTTACAGCTTATCATGAATCGGACTGCAGCCTCTTCAAGCAAAGCCTGGCTTTTATTATACATGTGTGTTCTGCCTAACAACTGAGCTGCAGTCACAGCTAACAAACAGTATCGGCAAAAGCACAGTTAGAACATCCTTAGAATGCAGCTGACTCTCCTCAGAGATACCCTGATCTGAATAGGTGCTTTAAACAACTTCACTAATCCACAAATCTTTTTTTGCCTTCTACTACTGGCCAAATATTGACCAAATAACTCAATCTTTACTACATTTGAAGTGTCCAGGACATGCAACAAGACACTGTGACAGTTTTGTGAGAGTATGAATTACACACTTCTAGCACTCAGCTGAGCTCTCTAGGGACATTTTCATCCATTCCCATCTTCTCTCCTACATGTAACCAAGGCTGGAAATCAACTCGGCGTTCCACATGTCAATCTCACATTAGTCCCCCCACCAAAGCACTGAGACACATGGCTGCTTCTTAACTCTTCCCTCACCAAATTTCACACGTCTACTAGCCATCAGCTCACATAAACAGGATTAAATGTGGAAATAGCGACTCATGATCACAGCTAACAGATAACAAGCAAAAACTCAAGTCAAAGAAGCAGCAAAGAGGCAGGCTGGTAGGTAGGTCACTCTGGGAGAGAGGGCTAGAGAAGGAATTTGAGACAGAAGGTATGAATGACTAGTCTGCATTGGCTCAGCAACCACCTCTTACATGCTGGAACAGCAATTGCACAAACGCCACATGAAATTCACACGGAAACAGTGCATCCTTGGGCCTCTTCTTTAGAAGATGGCTGTGAACACACCGATGGGCATTACAGGAGAAGATTCAACAGGCTCTGAAACATCAGTTCAGAAAGACGCATTTCAGAAAATGAAGCCTGCACCTCTCTGCTTCCCTGACACTAGTTAATTACCTTCCATTACCTTCCATTTAATTACCTTCCATTAACCATTCCTCAAGGCTAAGGTCTCCAATAAATCAGCTCTGTGACACTATTTAATCCCAGCAACCTGCTGACAGCACTGAATTCGGAACATGCCAGCATTTCAGAAGCGTGCTCCAGAAAGCCTTTATGAAATGCTTTAAACGTATTTGAGAATAACTTCATCTTTATATTATGTTTTATCTCAATAATACATTAAAAGCCTCAAGATTTTCTTGCCAAGAAAGACAAACAATGTGAGGACATCGGATACTTACCGCTTCCATTAGCCCCTTTACTGTGGGCGATTTCAGCATCAAAGCATCAAACACCTCATCTGTCTCCTTCCTCACATACAAAAGCACTGAAACAGAAAAATAGTCAAACTTGGAGCAGGTTCAGTCAATTGAACAGATGCAACACCCCACACTGAGTAGAAAAACAAGTATTAATCCATGACAGATAAAAAGAAGTGCTGAAGATGGTTTGCACTTAAAAAAAAATGTACTCTCATATCATCAGTGATCTAAACATGGAAGACACACCATAGTTGCTTTGAAAACACACAAAGAAAATTCAGCAAATTTAATTTAATGTGAGGAATCTATATCTTCAAGAATTTAAACCTCCATTTACCAAAATAAGAGGAGCTAAAAAGCACTGGGGCCCTGTCCCTGGGTCATAGGACAAAACACACAAGCTAGGTCTTCCTAAACCCGTGTCTTGGCTGGTACCCCTCCAGGCTTCATCCAAAAGGCTGGGAAAGGACATTCAGAAAAGGCAAGTCTGGTTTGCCTTTAGCTAAGCCTTTGAGAGCAAAAGAAAAGGAAAAGAAATAGTTCTGACATTACCACGCGGATGACTGCAAATGGGCCTGGCCAGTCTGAAAATAAACACTGGAAAGAACGAGTCCAAAGTCTTTTGAGACTTTACAGGGGAGACATTCAAAAGCACAGCTGGCAGGCAGGCATTTACCTGGGTGCCCACCCCTGCTCAGATAACCAAATGTCATTTGTACTCCTGAAAATCTCCTCTTCCTCCCTCAGATGTCCTGCCCGGTCTTAATCGTTCACAGGCCCAGTGCCCTGCCCTCTCTAGCTCTTGTTCTCTCTGACTTGTACAGGTAAAAGAAGGAAACGTTGTTACATGGCAAAAGCAAAGTAGATAGCCACAAAGCGAATAAACATAAACACTAGAGAAGTGTTTTAGGCATAATCTCACATGACTCTGATAAAGTAGCAGGTTAAATAAGATGTTCCGCAATTTATTTTGTTCCCTAAATAAACTGCCTTTTCAAATAGCAGTGCTGCACATTAGGTACAAATACACATGCATTGTTAGATATTTTATGTCTGTGTGACAACTACATATTGGTAATCATTTTTTTTTTTTTGGTAAACAGAAAAAGATATCTTTTGAAACTGTTAATCCTTGTGGTCTCAAAGATACCTTCACCAGGTAACTCAATAGACGACTTGCAGATGAACCAACAGACATGATGGTATTTTTCATACAGAAGCAATTCTTTGGAAGCTAATTCTTAGGTCAAGACTGTAGCAGGGTGGACTCAGGCCCATTTGCAGAGAATTGTAGCTTCTTTGCCCAGGTTTTGAAATGATTGAAAAAAGATCATCAGCATCAGCAGTTAAATTTTATTGGGTCTGATATGTTTACTTGCATGAGCAAGCACTCACTCGAAGTGCTAATTTTACCTGTACTAACACTTTTATTAATTCAGTAATTCTTTTCTTGTGACTAGAGGGCTGTCCTGTAACTCCTGGCTTTTCAAACATCTGGACCTCTGCCAGCCTTAATAATTACAAACGTATCTGAAAGGAGCAAAAAATCACCCAGTCCGAGGTTAAAGTTGGGGACATTATACAATCCAAATGCTGAGCTTTAAATCTCTCTGTTGTGCTTGGTGTGTCAGGCAATGTTATGCTGAATGATATCAGGGATATCAGGGAACTTGAATCACTATTATACACACAGAGAGCCAGGATTAGCAAACATATGGGGAGCTGTTGGTTTTTTCTTTCCCCCGACAGGTGTGAAAATCCTGGCTTTGATTCACCAGAGCACGTTTCCATAAATGACTTCTGATGACAGCGATGCCTTAAGAAGCCCCTGTCTCACCCCTGCCCTTATGCTCTGTTACTCTGGCCCGTCTCGATGAATTTTCCTGGATGATGAACTCTCTCAAACACCAGATGTGAGTGAAAAAACAACCCTTTTTTCTGAGTTGTTCTTCAGACAGATCAGGTCCCTGCTTCAGCGTACAATGCAGCTCCACAAGCCTTTGTGCTGTCATAACCATGGGGAGAAGGCTGGCTGGCCCACAGCAGGAGGCACACCCAGGGCAGATGGAAAGGGGCTGCAAAGTCTCCATTGGGGTCAGCAGCATTGCCACTGAATGCCAAGCCATGACTGTGACGATGTGACACAACTCATACTTATGCCCTCTGATCCTACTGTCATGGCATCTAGATGGGCTCACTTTAATAGTACAGATTGAAATATTGGGGGGGGGAGGGGAATCTTGTACCAGGCAATGAGCTATTTTTGACTGAAAGTTAAAAGATAAATTCAAATTTGACCTCTATGTTACCTTCTTACCAGCATTGAAACCCGCTGTAGTCCCTAATGCTCTTTAGATGTTAAAAAGAATTGCAAAAGATGGGCATGATAAATTTATCTTTAGTTACTTAAGAAATAGCCCTGATTCACAAAATTATGGAGTGGGAACCAGCCTTTGCTGAAGGCAAGGGAGGTTGTTGCACCTGGGAGATTTTTGGAAGCCAGGCCACTGAACTGAGGATTTAAGTGTGAATGCAGAAGAATAATGTTAGATACCTCTTTTTAAAGTGTTAACAGCTTGGCTCTCCATTGGCAAATCTGCCAAGGCAGAAGACAAGCAACAGACATGTGGCAAAAATGAAACTAAGGACATGAGGGGACAGTAAGACTTGGGCCACTACGAAGGTGTGAGCCCACGCACTACCGATGCTCCAACTTACACCCTATGAACAATGACTACAGTCTTTGTAAAGTGGTCTCTGGATGGAGATGTGGCACACTTCAGTCAAGGAAAGTAGGGCAGGTAGCTATGACCTGGCTTTCCTTTCCCACATTTGGAGTTTTCACTAATTGCCCGGGCACAAATTCCCTAGGTGACAGAGTGAATTCTGTCCTCTACAGGGATGGTTCACGAAATCCTGATTGTTATGAATCCAAAATGTTTCAAAGTAGTTTAACATGACTTTCCTGAGAGACAAAAGCTAGACAAAAATATGACTTTCTTCAAGCTGAGAACTACAGGATGGGAAATCTCCCTGATCTGTAACACACCTGCTGGATTTATAATTAAAGGGAAACTCCCTATGAAATCTGAAAGGGAAAGTGATTTGAAAACTCTTACTGAGAACTCAAAACAGGAAAAGACCACAAGTCTAGCCAAGTAACTAGCTGCACTGCCCACTTGGTACAGATTAACATACTTAACATTTCTGTGCTGGGCACTTGTACCTCCTTTAGAGGTAAAGGAGATGAAAGAATAATTCACGAAGACGCAACTACCTGTGTGAGAACATGGACCTTGTTTCACCGATGGTTTGCAAACCTCTTCAGACCTGTTCTCTTGAAGGCTGCCCCTTAATACTTTTGCTTCCACTGGACAGTATTACAATTAGGTCCATCAGGCAGAGGTGAGGCCACACACTGTCACTTCAGTTCTTCAGCCGGGCTTGGACGCCTCACTGGGTGCTACTTACCTGCACTGCTCTGATAATGAGCCACCTTAGGATTACATTGCTTTTAATGTATATTTTCACATATCAGACTTGCTCTCTCTCAAACATCACACCAGTGCCCCATCTATACCTGCTCTCTAGGAGTTATTGATTCTGCTGTATCAAATAAATCTGGGAGAAAAAAAGCTTCTAGTATGGCTAAGCCTGGGAAAAACAGCAGAACATTTTAATACCCGGTGACTCCTGTGGCAAAGACAGTATTGTCAAATGGGCAGATTCAGCTGAGCTGCGCCCCATCAGCACAATCCCAGATGCAAGGTTCCTCACGGCAGGAAGTTCACCAGAGCAAAGGCCACGCTGGAAGAGGCTTGGCCTCCAGCCAGCATAGTCCAAGTTGCAAGAAACACTGAACAGGAAGGGGATGTGAAGAGAGCATCCTCCAGCTTCTCTGGTTCTGTGCTTCTCCTGGATTTAATTACTTAACATAGTTTTGCCACCAGTTGAAAAACATTTTTTTTTCTTTCAAATATTCCCCTTGAAATGGTTGCAAGTCCTGGACGATATTAAAGCAACTTACCACAGCAAAGGACAAGAATAATCAAAGCAAACCAATACCTCCTTGCAGGCAACTCTCCAGCCTTCCAGCTGGGAAACCCAGGTGAAATTGCAGGAAATGACAGTTCTTTATGTAGCCCTTGTGGCTGTCCCCTTCTGCTTGATGGAGCCCTGATAATGTGAATTTGGTCAAGGCAACCAGATGCAAGTCTGTGGTCAGTGCTGACCTCACATAATTAATTGAAGATTTATGTTCACATTTATTCCAGGAAGATATCAGTCTCCATCCTGTAATCTTGTATGCTTCCCCTGCTTCAAGCACACTACCCTAACCAACAGAGAAACTTTGCAAATGTGGGCTCATAGGAAGTTGTTTCTATAAAGCTCAAATGAGTCTTACAAATTGTGCAACTAAGAACAATTGAGCTCACTTCTGTACCTTGTTGCTTTCTTGTCTCACAAACTGATGGGAGAACCTCAAAACATTTGCAAGTTTGAGTTATATAAGTTAGTCCAAGTTTTGGAGCCTCCAATAAACTTAGATAACAGAACTCATGAGACTGAAGGAATGGCAAATATTCTCCAGGGTGTCTAACTCTGGCAGTGTAGGAAGTTATCACCTATAGCACTGCACTGGAAGTGACTGTACACAAAGCAGATTTTGTGGACAAAACCACCATCTGCTCATCCTTACCTTCAGTGCAAAGTTTAACAGCTCTACCTAAACCATTGCTTCAACATTACCCAAATTAAGCTTCACTGTAGCAGGCTGGAAAACAGGGGTTGCACTGGTATAGCATATGAAACTTAGGGCAATATTCACTCAGGGCAGTAAAAACAGTTAAGGGAAACAAACTTTTAAACAATTCAGTTAGGTCTGCTGGAAGATGTCTCTCCATGCCTTATATGTATAATTGGGTAGGAAATTTCTGAGATTTTAGTCAGGCTAATCTCACTCTGCAGTCAGCAGGAGCTTGCCTGTGTAAGGTCTCTGTATTTGACCCAGTGCATCTTGCATATTTGCTTGTGATCTCAGCCAGAACAGAAAAGATGAGTAAAAGTTAAAAATAGACAACCACAGATTTGCTACTGGAATATCTATGAACTATGTAGCTTGGCCAAGGATCAAGAAACTTTCTAGCTTTTTTTATATTTTATATACACTTGTGTCCTGATCCCTTCTTGAGATAGCACAGTTCTTTTTTTTTTTCTTTTCTGCTTTTAAATCATTACTAGCATTTGTTAAAAAATGCCTCCTTGTACACTGGCAGGTGTAATGATCTATTCTCCCATCTACCCCGCATTTGCACTAGCATCAAACAAGTGACTTGGTCTGAGCCACGCCTGCCCTTCCCAGTTTGAGGGCATGAATCCCACAGCATTCTTTTTAACTGGTAAGAATTGACTGTTACCTCTTTTCAGGCCTTCTTCTTTCATTTGTTTCAAAGGGGATGGACCATACTCCTCCTCCACAGGCCGGAACATCCTTTTGACTAGGACACTGCTACTAGAAAACACACAACAGGGACCATGTCACAGTAAAACTGCGCTCCCACGCAGGAGAGGAGACAACAGCAGCAGTCATGACTCGCTTTGTACTCTGGCAAAAGCCCCACTAGCTACTCAAGTAGCACTGGACCAGAAACTGCAAGGATTTAGCTTTTGATGCTTATCTGAACTCTCCAGGCCTCTCAAATTGCCCAGACTTACTGGCTGGGACAGATGACAGAAAAATACGCTCCAACGTTACATACAATTTTGAAAACCCCAAAGGCCCTTAACTGTTTAAATATTGAGGGAAGGGGGCTGAGGAGGAAGAAACAGCTAAGTAAGGAGCTGAATGCACCTCCTCTTTGGGGTCAAGGAGACAGCCTCAGGAAACACCAGCAATACTTCTAAAATCCGAGACTGTACAAACCAGTGGGTGCAAAAGGAATAAAATGCTGGGCCAGATCCAGCCCGAAGCTGCGATGCGCTCCGCCAGGGAAGCTGAGGGCTCAAGGCGTTATGGCTGCCCCCTCCCTCGGCGTAGCTCTGTCAGGACTCAGTGTCTCCTTTTACTCTTGGAGGAGGGAACTGAAGCCAGTGTGCTTGGTGCAATAAACCTCTTTGTTTCTCGAATTTCACTGTGAGCCTTATGAAGAACATTAGCTTCATAAAAGAAACAAAAAGGGCCTCATGTTTTCAAGTCAATGTTAGCTGCAGGTGCCCAGCCACTCCCTACCTCAGGCCACTTTTTGCAGGCTTACATGCATGCAGTTGTCTTACTCCAAACTCTCAGATTTGAGGGTACTCGCTTGGGATTCAAGCAACTTAGAAAAGTATGGGGCTTGCACACATTACAGTTAACACTGGCTGAACTTCAGCCACACATACTAAAGCCCTTATTTCGTGACATTTATAACTATTTTAGGGACTTTCTGAGATTCTTCCAGTCCCTCCAAAGCCAGATAGAAGGTGCTCCCATTTCCAACCTTCCCCCTTCCCAGGATCTCCTGTTCTCTTTCTGCCTTTCTGTTCTGGTGTTTGGGCATTCTCTCTGCAGTACCTGTATTTGTCGCATACACATGTGTGTGCTGCTAAACAGCTTCCAGGAATGGGGTGAAGCTCAGTGCTTCATTAAAAAATTCCTGGTTTTTAAATTATTTGAGAACCCTTACATATATAAAAGACACTTTATTATCAAATATATTATCTTGTCCCTATATTGAACTATATGGCTCTTTAAAATGTTTTACTTGGAAATGTAATAAAAAATAGGTATAAAAAGCGGCCAGTTCATATGAAGGAAAAGAAAGTTACCATAAGATAAACCTCCCTCTACCAGTTCTACGTATTATTCACCTACTGTTAGTGACGGGAGAACATGAGGGAGGGGGGAGAAGGGGGATCAGTTTTATCTGGTTTCGTGTTTTGTGCCTGCTTTCTATGAGTTTGAACTGCTAACTGCAAAGCTTGTGAAACAATAAATGTCTTACCCTTCTCTCTCATCATCTGTATTATAGTAAACCTAGAAGGGTGAAAAAAAAACCCAATTATTCCCAAAACTCAGACACCAGATTAATTTCAAAAGGGAGAAAAGACAACAAGTGGTTTGCAGTTTTTCATCTGTTAAAAATCCTTTTCCTCTATAAAATACAAACATCTCTAGTTCTAATTGTGATCTGGAAAAAGTGTGGCTTAGAAAAACTGCTGTTGAATATCATCTAGTGGAAATATAACAAAGCATTTTGACAGACATTGCCCTCTCCCCTGGTTTATATAATTTTCCCAATTATTTTACAATCCTCTAAATCAGATCACTACTCACCTAAATTACCCCTAATAAGATTTAAGCCACAACACTGACAAGCTTTTGTATGTATTTAATACTGTCTGAAAATCTAATTAAACTATAAAGACCAACATTAATCTACAGGCCTAATGGAAATACAATTACTAATGCTATAGCTGAACTTTTTTGCACAGGCTGTGGGCAGAACTGCAAGTCCAGACCATTGTTTTGTGTAAATCAGTATAGCTCACAGTCACTGGGACCAAATTTACAAGAGCAGCAAATGTGGCTAACCGTAGCATTGGAGGTATGAAATCACAGGCTGTTGTCAAAGGCTTTACAGAACAGTCATCCAAATTCCTCACAATGTGCCTGCACTGCAGGTCCGCACCAACAAGTGCACCAGTACTCCAGCTGCTGAGTTACTGTGCAAGCGAAGGCAGCACATCGGAGCCCCGCGTTCTGCTCGGGCAGAGCAAGGCATCTCGGGCAGGTTTCCAGCACTTGTGCTGGCAAGACTCAGAGCACACTCAGCTCTCAAGGGGAGCCTTCACTTCTGAACCTGTACAGTGAAAATAGCTCAGAGATGTGTGTGTGCAAAGCTGAGCTCTGTAGCTCGTTCTATAACCAGGACCTGAAAGTGGCTACACTTTCATAATAAAACATTAATAAATAACACATTATTGTCATAATAAATCATTCTTATATTAATAATACACAAAACAATTGAAAAGTTCAGGATAGCAAGAATGCCGATAGCGCAACCCATAAAGCAGTAAAAGACAGGGCTGAACATTGCCTAAGAGCTAGCAAACTGGGGTATCTTCCAGTTAGTTTAGAAAATTATTTACAGGATCAGATATACTAAGGAATGCTTCCACCTTCTCCTGTTTTGAGATAAATCCACATTCTGGTTTGAAAGCCATGAGGACAGAAGGTACCCAGCACTGATATGTGAGTGGGCGTCTTTCCAATTTTGGAGAGTAAGTCAGTGACAGCTGTGATTGCAATGTCTGCGCTCTTTGTGCTTTGCTCTACCACAATTCTCACTGCTTTAAAATAAATGACAATTCCAACACTCAGTGTCATTTAATCTTCATTATTTTAATATTTTGCAGCAAGATGCATATAAAATTTCCTCATCTACTATTTGTCTTTATAAAGACATGCATAAAGGTCTCATTCTACTCCCTGAGATGTTAATAAATAACAGGTTCATATTCAAAAAAATTGTCAGAGCTGACCCTCCAATTCAAGTTTGCAATCTCCCAGCAAGCAATAAAGTAGGTCTTAAAAGAGTCAAGTCAGCAAAGACTTCTTCACACTTAGTGGTGATAATGACTTCATGACTTCTGCACTAAGCCAATATTGAATATTAACATTAGCACGATAGATTTTTACTTTTAGAGTGAAAATATTTTCTTCCAAGGAATTCCCAGATCCTTAGGTGATGCCGACAGCAAATGGGCAGTGGTGTTTAGCGAGCCTACTCTTGACCTCCTTACACATGTAAGAGCTTGGTCTTTGTTTTCAGTTGTCACAGAGAGGGGGATCTCTGCTACCACAAGGTGGCACTTCATCAAGCCAAATAGCACATTCAAAACCAGACTTACTTTCAGACACAAATCAACCTTCTATTTCAAAATTCTTGACTATTTGTTCCATTCTTTCTTCCTAGCAAAAGAATGGCAAAATGATAAAAAACACAAACTAGTCAGTTATTAATGAAGTATAAACTCCTTTTTTGCACCCAGAACTCGGAAAGGCCCTTGTCTCTTGTAAGGTTTTTTTCAGTGAATCACCAAGAGCTGCATTTACCAAAACGAGAGCTGAAACAAGCGGCCCCCAGGAACAGTGATTTATTTTCCTAAAACATGCCTTGGAGTTCATGTGGCTGGACAGCGGGTGGCCACCAGCTCGTCTCATTATCATTTCCTACCTGTCCGGTTCTTTGTAGGTTTCCAAAGTGAACATCCGGTATGAAGAGAACTGGCTGGGAATCCAAGTCAGCCATTGTTTTGAAGAAGGTGATATCGCTCTTTTTTTGCAGAGGGAGTGCACTCAACTTCCCTTCAGATGCTAGGAGGATCACAAAGCAACGTGATTATGAGACGAGGCATGTTAAGCGTGACTTAGCCCCAAACCAGAAAGGCCTGTTTTACTCACAGTTATTACACGAGGCTTGGGATGCCTGGCCTTTGCCTTTCTTCCTGTTCTGCTTCCTCTCTTCATCTCGGATTTTCCTTTCCGCTCCCTGATGTAAAAAAGACAACCCACAGATATTATCCAGAGAGGAACCACTGTGAGCATCGTACCTTGTGATTCCTGGAACTACAGCAACAGACACATCAGAAATGTTGAAACAGAGACTGGTTATCCCGTTACAGATAAATCTGTCCAGTTTGTTGGGAACCTGCCAGCTTCAAATCCATCACCTGTGCCTGAAACTCAGGCTGGCACATCCAGCAGCCCCCAGGGCTGGAGACAGCAGAGGAACATATCCACATGCTGGCTTGGAGGAGACGGGATGGACGTCTCAGTGCAGTCTGTAGCAGGGCTGTTGCCACCACAACTTGCACAAAGGGCATCCTGAGCCCTGCGCGTCTGCGATGAATGGAGTTGCTCAGGCTAAATACTTTGGGTATGTACTGACGTAAAACACCTGCAGGATTGCTATCATCTTAGATCATGTCTGTGCTAAGCTTTTCCCTAAACTCTCCTCCACCCGCCTTGTCGGGGGGCAGCATTGCTCCAGCTTTGTAGAGGCCTTTGAGATTTGCCAGTACAAGAAGGCTACGCTGACATCTTGCCAACAGTGCAAGGGCTCTTACAGAAAAATACAGACATTTCAAACAGGGAGAAGCCTTCCAGAAACTGGAAAGCAATGTAGCACTGCCCTAGTAGGCCCCAGGAACTCCTGGGAAGTTGCAGGCTTCTGTTATGTAAATACACTCTCAACAAGTTTAGAAAATAAAACTTGTTATTGACATAAAAAGCAGCAACACCTCCTTTGAAGTTCTCCTCATTTACTTTATAAATACAAATAGTCATGTTGTGAAGGGTATTAAAGATCCATATGCTCCCAGAGAGTCAGCATGCAAAATTAAAGATTTTTTCCAAATTAAAATTAGAAGTCTCTTTAAAAGAAAAGGGGGAGGGGGAGGGAGGTAAGGAAAGCCAAAAATATCCATTCAAGATGGCAAAATTCACACATGAGCCAATGAACCAGGCTTGAAAAGAACACAAGGAAAGATGTACTCCTGGATGTGATTTACCAATAGATTTCCAGAAGTTGAAAGAGCTGGAGGAAGAAACAGCTCTTTAAAAAACATGAAGGTGTCTAACAGAAACATTGCCTCCAGACCCAGGTCCCAATCCAGTTATCACTGACCTCAACCACAGAAGCCAAGGGATTCAGAGTTGTGCCCTTATCAAAATTGTTTCTAGGGGTACATTTGTATCTTTAAAGGCCACCTGTTGTGTGGCAGGAAGGAGCAAAAATATGCCTCACAGCCACTGCCCTCCAGAAGGCACATCCCTGAGAACCCCGTGCCGCACAAAGCGGCTCTGCCAGGCAGCCACAGCCCTACCTACCGCTCAGTGCTGCCGCTTTGCTGCTCGCAGGTAGCAGGATGAACCTTGAAAGTCATTTCGTACATGGCAGCAAGCGCGAGTTTCCTCTGAGGAAAGCAGAAACTGAGGAGGACTCTGCCTTTTATACACAACAAAGAACGTATGTTTTGCTGATTTTTCTTTGATGTTCTCTGTAACTATGAACTTGGTAAAGCTTCACAGCTTTGTCTTCATTCATTCAAGGCAAGACACCCCCAAGTCTTCTGGGATGCGGGCAATCTCTGAGCAGGGCAGCCATTCCCACCTGCCAGTGCTTATTTGTGCCATAGCCACTTTACAAATGTGGCAACTGCAATACCCACAAAACCACCTACCAGCCCTTCTGAGCTAGGAACATCCCCCATGGCACAGTGCAGGGGCCAGACAAGCCTACATGATGTACATCATTGTCGTAGGTGCTGAGACAATGGACCACAATAAGATTTTTGCATACCAGAGCATTTCTGCCGGGCAGTTTACACAGCTAAGCCATTTGACACATGTCTAATAAATCAGAGTTTGCATACCTCTTCAGGACAGAAGAAGAAATAACCCTCTCATAAGGGACTATTAATTAGGCTCTGACCAGTCAAATAATTGAATGAGTTTTTCATTTTTTCATTGATATCTGGACTTTGTATAAATGCAACAAGTATTTCTGCTACTAACCATTAGCAAAACGCAGCCTATGAATTTCAGCTGATTCAAAATATTTTTTTTCCCAAGTCTTCAGCTCATTTAAGCTTATGTCTTGCATTCTAGCTCCAGCCTAGCAAAGCCCTTACCATCATAAGGACCACTCCCATCACCATTATGAAGCTCATGTGTACACCTGTTCCTATTTCAAGGCCAAAGCGTTCCACATCTGGTAGGACAGGCCCATAGACTTCAGCCTTCTTCTCTCTAAAGCTGAGGATTAATAGGCAATTAGAGTTGCTCAAAACCCTACGATAATCCATTTTCTCTACGACGATCCATACTGAAGACAAGAGGGCAGGAACTGCATATATTCCAAATAACATGTAGTTTTTCAGAGTAAAGAAAAAGGGATTAATTTGTTTGATTTTGGAACAATGTTATGGTATTTCCCAAGTCAAATGCTTCTGCTTCTTTTCAGCAAGGCTGATCCCATATAGAAAATCAAAATATCTCTGAATCCCCAGTTTCTTCATACACAGTGGCTAAAGCATCTTGCAATATATAAATATAAATAGGCCTGGTAGAAAGTTTCCCTGACAACCTACTTAAGGAATAAAAATTATATTCTTTTATCGTAATGTAGCATCAGTGATCTGCACATGATAAAAAGACTGCAAGGGCAGAGAGAATTAGCACTGAGAAAACAAGATGTGCACTGTAACAGTTGCTTTAAAAGTTGATTGCCTACTGGAAAATAAACAGGGAAAAAACATTGGAGAATGAATAGGGAGCAAGTACATGATTACAACCTTTGCAGCCTTTATCTCCATATATTTATGTCACAAAGCACACATTGGATCTGAATTGGTGTTGCTCTCTAGTTATATGTAAATGAATACTAAATTTAAGCAACTGCCTGAGTAAATACTAAAATACATATAATAGGTAACACTTAGCTAAATGCAGTTTTATTTCTTCAGGGATAGTCTTTCCACAACAGCTATGCTGTGTTTCAGCTGGAGGACATTAATTTATCAGCAAATGTTTTTCTTTAAAACTGGACACCTCTACCTGTGATTTATCTAAATTAAAATATAAACACATCTACTGGTCCTAAAGAGGCACCATCACTGCAGAAAAAACATTTGTAAGAACACTGTCAGGTACAGAAACATTTTTTCTTCCACGTTTCAAACTAGATACATTTTAGTACTTAGGCGTGAGGAATTTACTGTGCAGTTCCTCTGATCCAGATGATTGTAATAAATCAGGTACTTTTCTCATCAGCTTCTCTTTGGGGTTGTCAGATTGGGGCATAACAGTACAATTCACACTTTTAAAATGTATAAAAATTATTATATGTTTGCTGTTTTTTTTAAATGACCCTGTAATACTTTTTTAATTGATCATGACAAAGAGGTGGGCAGTAATTGCCTCAGCTTCACGGCCTTTCCCAAACAGGCAGCAAACCCTGTCGTTGTCACTCGAGGGCGAGTCACAGACTTGGCAGAGAAACTGAGCCAGCGACCCTCCATTTAGCACCGCCTCAACCAGTGCCAGGGTTTGTTTTGGCATCTTGGAAAGATGAGGGTACCCAGCCCCACCAGCTACCTTCCTCTGAGCACGACGAATCCTCCCAGTACCATCAGCAAGTGGAAATTCTCCAACCATTTATTTACTTACAAAAGCACCATGACAAACGGATGTCAATAAAGATACAGCAGCATGAGTGAGGGGAAAAGCAGGCCTCAGTCTCTTTCCAAGTGCCAGTTAGCACAAACTGTCATGTGAATGGACCGCGATAATTTTAATTCATTTTCATTCAACTCATTTTCAGCCCTGCATTAAGTTAAAAAGCTCTGTATGCGTGTATACATTTATATTATACAGATATATATCCCATTATCAATACCCTTGAGCCCTCCAGTTCTCACTTTCAATACAGTTTCGATGTAGATAACGCTTTAACTACCCCTGTGATCTTTTCTTCTACTTTGAGACAGTTTTGATTAAAAGACTCAACATCCATAGTCTGGGTATTTGAAGTACCAATTAAGCCAATAGATGCAATGAACATGTATTATTCAAAATCTCCACCAGTTGTGTCTACAGGTCACCCCTGATGAGTTTGTGCTCTCAATATCCTTGCTTTTTTTAAATAATTCAGATTTTTCTAATTGCTTTTCAAAAACAGCTAGATGAAAACGACTTGTTACTTTGATATTTACTGAGTTTTTAACATCCAGCTGTAGCTTCAAATCTCTAAATTTTTGACATTCAAAGTTACAATTAAAAGCACAACATTTTGACTGCAAGACGACCTCAGTGCATACATTTACATTCATTACCTTCAAAGTTTGTGCTCCACTAACACAACTGACTGATCAGCCCTCAAGATCCCGTTGTCAAGACAGCAACAAGGGAATGAACTGAAAAAGGGGAAGGAGCAGCAACACAGAGACCTGGAACAGTTGAACTCTTACCCTTCCATTAAAAAGTTAATGCTACGTATTGCCTGGGGCATGGCCTTTTGCCTTTCTATTCCCACCTGTAAGATGGCAAGACTAATTTGGATAAATTTCTGAGCCACTTCAATAGATGTAGGCTCCTGAATCCCTGAACCTTGACTAGAATCCAAGCATCAGTTCCCCCCTGGAAGATCTTTCCCAGAAGGGTTAAAGTCATCGACTGGCAGATGTTAAACACAACTGAAATGTGGTCACGCTCACATCTAAGAATCATCACTGAGATAATATTTCTGAGCAACTGTTTCTACTCAGTGATATATACAGCTGATCACATGTCCTGGTTTCAGCTGGAATAGAGTTAGTTTTCTTCCTAGCAGCTGGTGTAGTGCTGTGTTTTGGATTTAGTATGAGAATAATGTTGATAACACACGGATGTTTTAGTTGTTGCTAAGTAGTGTTTACGCTAGTTAAGGACTTTTCACCATGCTCTGCTAGATGCACAAAACGCTGGGAGGGAGCATAGCCAGCACAGCTGACCCACACTGGCCAGAGGGGTATTCCATACCATATGATGTCATGCTCAGTATATAAACTGGGGGAGCTGGCCAGGGGGCAGTGATCGCTGCTCAGGACTGCCGGGGCATCGGTCGGCAGGTGGTGACCAGTTGCATCATGCATCTCTTCCTTTGTATATTCTATTATTATTATGATTATGATTATGATTATGATTACTACTACTACTACTACTACTTTACTTTATTTTATTTCAAGTATTAAACTGTCTTTATCTCAACCCGTAAGTTTTCTCACTTTTACCCTCCTGATTCTCTCTCCCATTGCACTGGCGGCGGGGGAGTGAGCGAGTGGCTGTGTGGTGTTTAGTTGCTGGCTAGGGTTAAACCACGACACCATGACACTGTCAGACTCATTAAGGCATGATCTATGTTTTGGTGCTGAAAAATCTTACCAATTCTCTCAAAGGAGTGGGGAAACCCATTGTAAAAGAATGAAATTTTGCAAATGAAGTAGTGAGCAAAAAAAAAAAGGAAAAAAAAATAATAGTTACTGAACTACAAAATGAGAACAGCTAATATATTTTTGCAGTTTACTTTTAATAATAAAATCCTAGCAACATAAAAGTCTCACTGAAGCTTCCAAAATAACAGTTTGTAATTCAAGCGAGGGGAAGAAAAAAATCAGCTGCATCACTGGGACTCGGTGTTTTCCACTGTATCATAAAACAGAGCTTAGTAGGCCTTTCTGAAAGGTGTATTTCTCTATCAGAGACCTCTCCACAAAGTTTACACGTTACCTATCCTGAAGGGATAACATCATCAGACTGGCACTTCCATGAGCCTATGATCAACACTGACCTTCCAAGTAGAGATCTTTACGTTTGTGCTTTCTATGACTTTTTTGATATTCCTGTATCATGACCTATAACATGCTGTGCTTAAACAGTCCAACTATTGCTCACAAGCTGAGGAATCAGGACCAAAAAGGCTGCAAAGCAGTAAAATAATTACGTGATAATCTGTTATGTTTATGATACAGCTGTTCCAAATTCTACCCTGAAATACAACTCTTTAGGGA